TGTTTTTGGTTTTTTTGTTTTGTTTTTTTTGTTTTTTGTTTTTTGGGGTTTTGTGTGTGTGTGTGTGTGTGTCTTACTTTGCTTGATTTCAGATTGGTCATTGCAATTGGAATTTACTATAGGATTGGCAATGAAAGAATTTTAGCAATCATGGAATAATTTCACTAAAGGCAGAAGAGAATTTCTCTGGGGCATGAAACTGCTCTAATTGTGGTGATATGTTCTAAAATATAGTGACCAGTCAACACTTCCCCTGAGAGCCCCTTCCCTTACCCTGTTCTTTAGTGTGGGAATTTCCATCTCTCCTAGTTCATGTTGAAGCCCTCTCTGCATCCTATTCAACTTAAGGATAATTCTTTTATTCCTAGGCAGTTAAAACTGTATTATGAACAGTGGCTGTTCAGTAACTATTCATTAATTAAAAAACTATTCAATAACTATTCATTAATCAAGAAATTTCCTTTTCTACAATCCCACTCATGGTTATTTATGCTAAAGAAATGAAGACACATTAAAAAGAAGAATCTGTACCCAGATATTCATTCTAGCCATTCTGATGGTAGTTAAAACCAGAAACAACTTATATGCCCTACAATGAAAAAATGGAAAAACAAACTTGAAATACAACTTGAAATAAAAGGAACAAAATATTGATAAAAGAAATTATTGATAAAAGCATCAACTTAAGTACTTGAGGAAGAGGTGCACCTTATCTGCAAAGCTTACTTATCTCTGCTTCTGTGCTCTTGATCTGAGTGGCTATTGACTTCTGCTTTCTCTTTCCTGCATTTCCAATATCTCCCTCTAGACTACCATCTTCCACTCAGTCTGCAAATGTGCTCATTCCCATCTCATACCATCAATTCTCTGACTCACACTGTTCTGTTGCTCATGCTTTCTGTTTGTTTTCTTAGCCAGATGCCTAAAGTACATGACATCAGATGACACTTATTGCTTAGTACTACCCTTCACTTTTCAACCTAAGGTCATCAGACTTTATTTCTACCCTTATGCTGAGATGCTACTGGGCACCTGCCACTAACCTCTTGAGTCCAGTTCTCTGAAATTACTCTGTCTTCTGACTTAATATTGCTGAGCCATTCTTTCTTATTTAAAGGTATATCTTTTTTGTTCTCCTAATTTTCTGATCACTCTGTGTGAATTTCCATCTCTAGCTTATACTCCTTTTCCTTCAATGTCTGTGTTCTCTTTGGGTTTATCCTTGATGCTGGCTTTTTTTCTGTAGGAAATCTTTCCCATGCCTGTGACTTCAACCACCATCTGTAGACTCATGATTTTATAATTATACCTCTGGTGTTTGGGTGTGGTACTACATACCTATAACCCTACTGACTCAGGGAGAGGCTGAGGCAGGAGGATTGTAACTTAGTGAGGCCCTAAACAACTTAGTGACACCCTATCTCAAAATAAAAAATAGAAAGAGCTGGAGAGGTGACTCAGTGGTTAAGAACCCTGAGTTCAATCTCCAGAACCCCTCAAAATAATAATAATAATTACACCTCTGGTTAGGGTCATATGCCTTGAATGAAATCATGGGCATGCAATGAATGTTTACTTAAAGGACAAATTAGCAGGCACATAGATGGATAGATAACTGAATGAATTGCTTTGAACTAGTGAAACACCTTAGAACAAGGGAAAATGTCATAGGCATCTTATTGTGTGAATTTGTTTATGGTAGAGATGATTGTTAAATGTCTGTTCACTCTCATGAGTCCTTTCCTTTTCTACCCAGCATTTAGAAGTAATCAGAATACTGACTTTTTCTTAGCTTAGAAGTTCCATGATAGAACATGGAAGCTTATGGACCATTTTGGGCAGACCTAAGGTTTGGTTCATTTCTTGCTCCCTCTGTTCCTTGCAAGGACTTCTATTGTGAAAATCCAAAAGCAAAGCTCAAAATTAATGTGATAATAAATAGTAATCATCAATACATCTTAAGTGTTCATAATATTTAAGGTGTTTTGTACTATAAGTTCCCTCTCTGTCTCTGTCTGTCTCTCTCTTCTTGCTAGAAATTTTCCAATATTTGCTGTGTAGTTAGGGTTCTCCAGAGAAATAGAAACCATAGGATGTGTACATATAAGGATAGATATACAGATGTATCTATTTATCTCTATCTCAAGAGAGGTCTTGGCTCAAGTATTATGAAGATTGACAAGTCTAAAACCTTTATGGTGGGCCTCCAACTACAGATCCAGGAAATGGCTGATATTCCAATTTGAGTCCGAAGACTCTCCTCTGGAAGAACTCCCTCTGGGCTCCAGAGGTATCCATCTTTTGTATTACTGAGTCTTCAGTGCATTAGATAAGGTTCACCCACATTAAGAAAGGCAATTTATTCTAATTATTCACCTATTTAAATGTTAACATCAGTTCAAAACACCCTCAAATAAACAGCAGAGTAATGTCTGACCATATATCTGAGCACCATGACCTTGCCAAGGGGACACATAAAATTGACCATCACGTTGGCACATTTGGCTATGGCAATCTCTCAGCTTCATCTTGGACCACTCAGCCACTTTAAACACATGGATCTTTTTACAGTTCCTCAGGACCACAAATGTCCTGTCTAAGCTTTGGGACTATCACAGATACTTCTCACTGTACCTGGAATAATTTCTCACCTACTCACAGCCTGGAAAATTCCTCCTCATCCTTCAGTTTCAGCTTCCATGACATTTCCTTAGTGGAGATGTTCCTAATCTCCAGTCTCAGTCAGGTCTCCTTATTAGCATCTTAGTGTCAAGCCCCATTGGTTGTTGGTTTTTTTCCCCCACATTATTTTCACAATTACATGTAATTACCAATGTATTTTCTGTGTCTATTACTTTAATATATTTCTCTTTTAATTTCATTGCCCTATGAGTTTAGAGACCTGGCACATGTGTCTATTTGTGTCATTCACATGTGAATGAGTGGAGGTTAAGATGATCCAAAAGACATTTCCTTATTAAACTTAGAAACCAAATGCTTTCTTTTTAATCAGGGATAAATTTGAAACATTTTAATAGATCCTTTCCTTTGACAGGTAAACATTTCTTTAATTAAGAGGTTCGAGAGCCATGACTGGGCACTTGCTTAAAAATGTATATTCTTGGTCATCATGTCCCAAATGATTCAGTAGGTTAGAAAGTAGGACTGGAGGATTTTGCTTTTAACAAATGTTCCACTAATTCTGATGCTTCTGGTTAGTAAACCAATAGCTGGAAACCACTTATATTAGACCAAATTTTTTTTTAAAAGAGAGAGTGAGAGAGGAGAGAGAGAAAGAGAGAATTTTTAATATTTATTTTTTAGTTCTCAGCGGACACAACATCTTTGTTGGTATGTGGTGCTGAGGATCGAACCTGGGCCGCACGCATGCCAGGAGACCACGCTACCGCTTGAGCCACATCCCCAGCCCTAGACCAAATTTTAATGGAAGCTAAAATTCCAGTGTTAGGGAGCTCATTGGCTCCTGATGCTATTTGGGCCACTTTGATACCTGTAGTTTAGATCCAGTTGTAGACTCGAGGGTGGGGGGGACACAAATAACATTATTTCCAGTTATTGAAAGGCATCTTTCATGTCCACTATTCCTTTAGATTTGAAATAAAAATTTTACATTTTTTTCAATGATAGTCACTGCTTTCTGAAACTTTAGTATTTTCTGATGTGTTTACTTTTTTAATACATGGTCTCTCCAAAGCTGTGATAACAAGAACCTGATAATACTCTTTATTCTAACAGATTCCTACCACAGAAGGATGGGTAATTCTTCCAGACAATATGGTCATACTATGCAGCCTTCTGTTAAAATGTTTTTCTCAATTTCCTCAATCTTGTTCTTAATCCATTTGTGTTTCTGAGATCTCAATTTGGTTAAGTATCTTGAGAATTCCTGATTCTAATTGAGGTAACATCTCAAGGAAAAAAAGTATTTGCTACCTCAAAAATGTTTTCCACTTTAGTCAAGAACAGCTTCAACTTTCTGGTGTTAGGCGGTCTCTTATAGACTAGTTAATGCTGTGTATGATTTGACTGCAGACTCATGATTAGAATTCCAGCCAACTCATGTGAGCAAGAAAAACAAAAGCAAAACCAGACCCCTGGGGAGAGTGCTAGTTTCTTCACCCCAGTGAAGCTAAATGAAAATATAGTGGACTAAAGTCAGACTAATTGAAACCCAGGTGGGTTTTCTGTTTCATGAGTAACATAAGATTTGAAAAGACAAATTGATTTCATGTTGTGGAAGCTGCACATTTAGATTTTGTTTTGGAAGTAGCAGAGAACCAGGAGTTGGTGATGAGTTTTAATCAGAAGAGCTAATATCAGCTTTTAAAGGAAACAATGGAGTTGCAGAAGAAAGAATAAAGTAGAAGGAAAAGATAGAAGACAGGTATACTAGTTAAGGGGAAATGTAAAAGGCCAGGCTCTATACAAAACAGTAAAGATATATCTCCCAGTTGTGACACTGAGCAAAAGAAATAAACACAAGGGGCTAATATTCCATGATTCCATTTATGTGAAATTGGAAGGTAGAAAAAAGTAATTTATGGTGATGAAAAGTAGTGGTGTTATTTTGGGAGGGAAATAATGAATAGAAGGTATCTGGGTGCTAATCACCTGGTATATCCTGATTCAGGATGTAAAATCTGATCTCTTTGTGCAGTTGAGTTATGTATATTTTATAGTAATGTGTTGTCATTCAAAAAATGTATTCCCAAAAATGGGGTGGTTAAAATTGGAGTGATAGAAATTAGAAAGCCAGAAAAGTTATTTCCATAGAGCATATTTCAAAACAGAAGTCTAGTGGGATATATAAACATAATATAACTATTTTTCTTACTATTATGACTATTTCTCTTATTATTTATCTTATGAGTATCTAATTATTCTCTTTGAGATTTAATGTGGCTGTTTCCAAAATGGCTGCCATCAGTATCTCCTCTTCTGTAAGTGGCTTGACTCTGTTTGCCCCTTCCTTACATCTGGGCTATTCTTGGACTTGCTGTGATGCATAGAATGTGGTGACCAGGATGGTTCCGGGTATAATCATTAAGAAGCCTGGATGCTTCTGCATTCTTTTAGGAATGTATCAGCCATGCTATGAAGAAGCTTAGACTGGACTGAGGAATACTGGCACATACTTTGGCTAGAGAAATATGAATGACCACATGTGTGAGTGAGAGAGGTCATCTTGGGCCTCCAGCTTGACTGACACCATGGACTGACACCATGGACTGACTCCAGAAGAACCATTGGGGCCAAACTTCCCCTGAATCCCTAATCCATGGGAAACCCCCCATAGTGGTGTTTCCAGCTGTTAAGCTTTGGAGTGGTGGCTTACACAGCAGTCTATAACCAGTTTTCTTCTAGAACAGTGGCTCTCTACAGGAGATAAAGAGATTGTGCCCCACCAGAGGATTTTTGTGAAGTCTGGAGACAGTTTCAATTGTGAAAACTGGAGAGGTTTCTCTTGGTGTCTAGCAGGGAGAGACAAGGAGGTGGGTAAATATCCTTAACTGCATAGAGCACTCTGCCAAAAGAGAGTTTCCACCCCCAAATGTTAATAGAGAAGTGTTTCATAACTTCAGGAGCCATCTTTCATAAATCTTCATGAGAATTTTCATCTCCTGGGATTCATGATGTACATTTGATACCTTGAAATCATACCAGACTTTTCATGGAAGTTATATTTTTACTTTCATGAAAGGTTTAAAATACTGCCCTAGACAAGGGTTTCTGACTGTAATGCATGTAGAAATGATCCAGACAGCTTGTTAAAATGTAGAATCTGATTCACTGGGACCAGGGCTTTGCTCCTTGAGCAATACTTTGCATAGTAAATCTCTAAAACAGGAGTGCTTGATGTTAACCATGTGTCAGAAACTCCTGGAAGGAACACACATTGGCCTCCCTCTGAAAGTTTGATTCTGCATGTCTGAAGCATGGCCTGAGAATGTGTATGTCCAACAAGTCTCTAGGTAAGGCTGATGCTTCTTTCCATGGACCATACTTTGAGAACTACTGCCCTAGATTATCATTTCCTAAATGTACATAAAAACTATCTAAGGTAGCTGAAAACCTTGCAGGTTCTCAATACTCTGTCAGCCTCCACCATATTTCTTCCTTCAGTCTGGATGGGAAATCTAGTAATTTGCATTTTAATAAATTGTTTCTCCTAGGGTGATTCATATAGCTGTGGTCCATAATGGCACTTTATCAAATACTGTGCTAGGGGAGTATGTTAGAATACTACACTTGGAAAGAAAAGCAAGTGTATATTGGGAAAACACATTTAATGTTCTAATTCATTTAAGTGACTTCTAATTTTCAGCTTGAAGTTATTTTGAAAGACCAACATGCAAAAAGTGAGGAAGATTTTTATGCTTATCAAGAGTAGTCATGGGATATGTGCTATTAACGGAAGTTTTATTTTAAAAAGTGGTGGTTTCTTTTTTTTTCCCTGAGTCAGTCTTTTAGTTCTTTCTGGGTTTGTGTAAGTTTGTGTAATTATATTCTCTATTGGAGCTTCAATTTGATGCTTCTACCAAGTTAGAGAAAAGACATTAATAGTGATGGCCAGAGTTCAACCTTCTTAAATTTTTGCTATGTACCCGGCATCTTGTAAATAGCTTGTGTCAGTGCTATCTCATGAATTACACCTGGCAGTCCCTTCAGAAGCAGGTATTAGTTACTAGCCCCAATGCATGCACTGAGAAATGAAGCTTAGTAAGTTTAAGATAATTGCCTAAGATTATATAACTAATTCATATCAGAGCCACAATTTTCAACCTGTCTGATCTAATGTCTAACTATTTCTCAGGGATGGAATATGGGCTTCTGTATTTAAATATGCTTTTTAAAAAATTCTTAGTTAAAGCAATATTTCAAACAGAATGGCCTCACTCTGTGAAAATGAATAAAGGAAATATTTTGAAATGAGATTTAATATGTTGCCTTGACAGGATGTGGCTATGACCACCAGTTTTTTCTATTTGTCTATGACTAATTACATTACCAGCTATTTTTTAACTTTATGAAAATTTGACATATTCTTCTTATCTTTTTTTTCACTATCTGGGGCTTTTGTGCCATGCATTATATAGTAATGGTGTTTGGTTAGCTGAGAATGTCTACAGTCACCTTGTTTCCAATCAAGGTAATTTGATTGGAATAAATAATTTTCTGATTTATAAGGAAGATTAAGGTTTTTCTGTCATCTGTAACTGCTCTCATTAATATTTAATTTAGGTAGAGTTTCAGCCAATCATTTTTATTGCCATTCATAATTTTCAACTCCCAAGTCCAAGCAAAACATATTTTAAACAATATGCAGGCACAGTGTCTTTTGCTGCTTTTAAACCTATTTCTCCTTATTCTTGACATTATCCAAGGTACAATCACCATGAAGCCTTCTGAGTCATGGCCTCTGGGGAAGGGATTTAGAAAACTGTTTTTTTTTTTTTTTTAGCTTGGTGGAAATCTGCGTTGTATATTAACCTCTACATTCACAATCTGGACTTTGAGCTGTGATTATTTAGAAACCCATTGGCATTTTCAAAACTGATTTGTATTGGCATCTCTCAAAATATGTGTGTGTGTATGTATGTATTTGAGTCTTGAGTTTAAACTCAAGACTCAAATACATAACTTTCTGAATATGTTGCTCAAGTTCATAACTTTCTGAATATGTTGCACATAATATTATACACATTTTTTTTGTACTGGGAATTGAACCCATAGGCACTTAACCACTGAGCCACATTCCCAGCCCTTTCTATTTTTTATTTTGAGACACAGTCTCACCAAGATGCTTAGGGACTCATTAAGTTGCTGAGGCTGGTCTTGAAATCGCAATCTTCCTGCCTTAGCCTCCCAAGTCACTGGGATTACAGATGTGCACCACTGCACCTGGCACATGATATACATTTTTAAACTCAGATACAAAGGAAATAAGTGCTCCTGTGTGTTCATAATCTTATCACCTTATATTTAGATATTGGATATTAGATTGATTTTCAGTCAATCATGAATGATCTGTGCAGAAACATGTGCTTGGGAAGGGACCAGGCTTTAAGAGGAAGGCACAAGCTTCTAGAGGAAGCTGAGATGTAATGTTTATAATTGGAGACTCTTTCAAAGTGCTTTGGATTATAATTAGTAGGAAAGAAAAATCAAATGCACTTAAATAATATAGGAAGTGCATTATTTTAGTTTAAAGACATAAGAGGTATCAGATGTTTTTGGGTTACCTCTCTACCATGGGGCAGATTTATCCTCAGCCAGGTAGACAGTGGTCATGCCACGTATAAGGCCTTCTTCAGGTCAGAGGAAGAGAGGTGAGCTTTTCCAAGGGTTTTCTCTTAGAAAGGTTATGTTTTTTGTTTTTTTGTTTTTTGTTTTGTTTTGGTTTTGTACCAAAAATAAAGTTCTAATAATTTTTATTAGCTAATAATAGGTTTCCTTCCAGTCCCTTTAGTCAAAAAAAAATCTCCTGAAACTGACTTCTAACTCCTGCATTCCTGAGGCCCACTCTTGGCAATAGGGTAAAGAAGGACTTGGCTTAATCAGGTCCAGAGGTTAGGTCAGCTATCCTTGAAACACACAGGCTATCTTGTGGGAAAGAATGGACACACACACACAGAAGAACATAGGAGAATTGGGTGCTGGACTGGTGAATAACCACTCCAGAGGAAGAGGACCTGGCGTAGTGTTAGTTCATCTATCACACTAGGGTTTTCCCACCAGGACCAATAGACAGACACTACTTTTTTAAAATTATTATTTGTTCATTATACAGAACTGTGCATTTCATTGTGATGTGTTCATATATGCCCTTAATATACTCTGATCGGTTTCACTCTCTGTTCTCCCCTTTCCCTCCCCTTCTCCTTCCTCCTAATTGTCTTCTTCTACCATACTGATATCCCATTTCTTTTCATGAGATCACTTTTTTCTTTTCTAGCTTCTGCATGTGAGGGAAAACATACCCTGGACCTGCTGAATTTGATTTATTTTGCTTAACATGATAATCTTCAGTCTCATCCATTTTACTATAAATGACATAATCTCATTCTTTGTTATGACTGAATAAAACTCCATTGATATATATATATATATATAGCTAAATAATATTTTGTTCTGTTTT